TCGGAGCTCCGCCACCGCCTCTCTTGCGCCCCTGGCCTTTAGCCATACAATGACTGCGGCCACCCCTCCGACGACGGCCTCCCCCTTCGCCCTCATCGCTGCCCTCACCGCCACTTCGACTACGGCTACGACTTCTTCTTCTGCGCGCCATTCTTCTCGAATCTGATCTCAATTTGTGGTTCAAATACGAGCGAAGAATACAATTTTGTGGACGAGTTTTGCTGACTTTAAACGGATTTTTAGTTGTAATTTGAATTTGAATTGACTTATGGTTTATATAGTATACGAGTGCTATTGTTATAAAGCGTGCAATCATTGACTATTAATTATGATTAATTGATTTGATTGTATTGTTTAGTATAAAACATACATTTTTGTCATTTATTCAGTTTGTCAGTAATTGATTATTGAGTTTTGACTCATTGATAAATTATCACAGATTTACATAATTATAATCACAAACTTATTAAGTTTTATTTAGTTAATTGTTTTTCAAACTTTGTAAGTCCAATATTACATAAATGATACATTTTTATAACTCAAAAGTGTCTATTTTATTGAATAACATTCTGGTATTCATAATACAGTAAATAATGAATGTTTAAACAGTAAAATTTTACAGTACAAATATTGACTTCAATAAAAATAAATGATACATTTTTATAACTCAAAAGTGTCTATTTTATTGAATAACATTCTGGTATTCATAATACAGTAAATAATGAATGTTTAAACAGTAAAATTTTACAGTACAAATATTGACTTCAATAAAACTAAATCATTTGTAATTCTTATTTAATTTCAATACATGTATTTATTTAGTTATCCTCAACTTTTTACAAAAATATAGTTTTCAAATACTTTTTAATTAAATTTTTTAAACACAACTAAACTTTTTTAACACATTTATTCCAGTCATGTGGACCATCAAAAATACATTAATCAAAATTCTTATTTGATTCACATTGTTTATCTTTAAAATGATAATTGATTAAGTGTTTAGTTTTTTAATAACTTTATAATCGATATATTGATATTTCAGCAAAATTTTTATTGAGATTTGAATTTTTAAAATGATTAGAGAAATGAACAGAAGAGTGGCTGAAGAGTGAAGAAACTCATAGACAATGAAAAGAGTGATTCAAAGGCGCGCTGAGGAGGACGTGTCTCTTCGAGCGGACGTCTCAACGCCTTTTCTTCGGGTGGAAGTGAACGCAAGTCTTGGAGCCATCGATTTTACACCGTTTGGCGCCTTTGTATTTGGTGTGAAAGTGGACGCACTTCTTGCCCCGACACGGCTTCGGCACTCCGCTCCCGCCTCTACCGCCTCTCTTGCGCCCCTGGCCTTTAGCCATACAACGGCTGCGGCCACCCCTCCGACCACTGCCTCCCTCTTCGTCCTCACCGCTGCCCTCACCGCCACTTCGACTACGGCTTCGACTTCTCCTTCTGCGCGCCATTCCTCTCGAATCTGATCTCAATTTGTGGTTCAAATACGAGCAAAGAATACAATTTTGTGGACAAGTTTTGCCGCTAAAGATAACTGACTTTTTAACTGTTTTTAAATTAAAATTTGAATTGAATTATCGTTTATATAGTTTACGAGTGATTGTTATAAAGCGTGCACTCATTGACTAGTAATTATGATTAATTGATTTGATTGTATTGTTTAAAACATGCATTTTTATGATTTAGTATTGATTATTGAGTTTTTGACTCATTGATAAATAAATACTCACAGATTTAGACTTATACAATCACAAACTTTATTAAGTTTTATTTAGTTAATTGTTTTTCAAACATTGTAAGTATTACATATTGTAATATGTAAATGATACAACATTTTTAAAACTCAAAAGTGGATTTATTATTGAAAAACATTCTGGTATGAATACAGAATGCAGTACTGAATAATGCAGTAAATAATGAATGTTTAAACATTAAAATTTTATTTTAAGTTTGATTCATTTATATATAACATTTAAAGTACAAATATTGACTTCAATAAAACTAAATCATTTGTAATTTTTATTTAATTTCAAAACATGTATTTATTTAGTTGTCCTTAACTTTTTACAAAAATATAAATACTTTTTAATTAAATGTCAACTAAACTTTTTTAACACATTCATTTCAGTCATGTGGACCATAAAAACTACATTAATAAAATTCTCATTTAATTCACATTGTTTATCTCTAAAATGATAAGTGATCAAGTGTTTAGTTTTTTAATAACTACTTAAAATATTTTTAATAACCTTATAATCGACATATTGTATGATATTTACACAATTGAGCACAAATTTATTGAAACAAACACCCACTTATCACAATATATTGTATTATAAAGTATGTAAAAACACTAATAATTTTGATATTAATAAACTAGATGAGTCTATATAAATTAATACTTATGATAAATTTAATGTGTTATCAAATCAGTTGATTTTCGGATCAAAGTATCACCATTTGCGCTCAATATTAACCACTCGTAAAAGAAATAAGTTTTGATTTATTTATTTATTTATATTTTCTCGTAATTCATATGACATTTAACTGAAGGTTGTGTTAAAAAGTCATGAAACAAATACTTTTGACCACATTTTTGGTCATAACGGTTGGCGTGAATTGTATTGAATTTGATGCAAAAATATGCGATTCTTTGCCACAATTTGACGGAAGGCTAAGAGAGAGGATCGCAAACATATCGACAGACGTCCAGAAAATTATTGATTATGTGGTAAACGGCGCCGACAGAGGAGTCACTTACAATGAATTGGCTAAATTTGTGGACACTTTCGGCTCACGACTCGTCGGCACTAAGAATCTGGAGAATGCCATCGACTATATGTTGGACCTGTTGAAGACTGAAGGACATGACAATGTTCACGGAGAGCCTTGTGCTGTACCTGTTTGGGTAAATATATTATCTCATAATACAATTAATTATTTACATGTTTTCAAATCAATTTAAATCTAAAATTTATTGTTTATCCAAAGACAAGGGGCAAAGAATGGGCGCAAATGAATAGTCCGCGTGTAAAGCCATTAAACATATTGGGTTTGGGCTATAGTGTGGGCACAAATGGCACTGTACTGACCGGCGAAGTAGTTGTGGTCAAAACATTTGATGAATTGAAAAACAGATCAAATGAAGTGAAGGGAAAGTTTGTTGTCTATAATTTTGACTTTAAAGGCTATGGAGAATCGGTTGAATACAGGGGCCGCGGGGCCAGTGAGGCCGCCAAATACGGCGCTATCGCAGCACTGGTACGTCTGATTAGTTTAATAAATATTTATTTAAAACTTATCATAAACTTTTACTTATTTATTATCAGGTTCGGTCAGTAACTCCACTATCTATTAATTCACCCCATACTGGAATGCAATGTAAGTATGAATTAAATACATTATATAAATTCTATCATTTTGTATAATTGATAATTTAATTTATAATTATTTGTTTTAATTAACAAAAGAATAATATTTGACGAAATAATTCAATGATAATTACATTTCTTAAAGCTTATGCCTCGGGTGTCGTCAAAATACCGGCCGTCAGTATCACCGTTGAGGATGCGGAACTGTTTGGCCGATTGGCTGCTAGAGGTATTTCGTAACTCTTGCCTTAAGACTATTTTACATTAATTATTCGTTAAAGGAGTGAAAGTAAACGTTAGTCTCTATATGGAGGCCCGTATGGAGGCGGAGGGCACCTCTCGGAACACTGTTAGCGAAATTAAGGGCACCGACAAACCCGATGAGGTAATAAGCACGGTGAATTTAAAATAAGTTTACTTAGTTTGTGCTAATTGATTTTGGAGGTGGTGTTAGTATCGGGTCATTTGGACTCTTGGGATGTGGGACAGGGGGCGATGGACGACGGCGGCGGTGCCTTCATCTCATGGCGAGCCCTATCGGTGATTAAAAAACTCGGTCTCAAACCCAAGCGTACACTTCGATCGGTGTTGTGGACGGGCGAAGAGATGGGACTAATCGGCGTTCAGAACTACGCCAAAGTATTCAATGATAAAACATTGAGTTAAATGTAGCGCATTTAGGGAACCAATTGTATTTTGTATTAGGAACATGCGAGTGAATTGAGCAAGATGAGTATCGCCATGGAGTCGGACATCGGCACGTTTACCCCGTTTGGCATATCATTCTCGGGCACAAACACTACGGCCCAATGCATTGTGAACGAAGTGCTCAAAGCCCTCAACCCAATCAACGCCACTCACATGAGTCTCGGTAAAGACGGGTCGGACATAGACTTCTTGATGGCGGCCGGAGTTCCCGGAAGTAGTCTTGACAATAGACACGAGACGTACTTCTATTATCATCACTCAAATGGCGATACCATGACTGTTGAGGACTCGCATCAGCTCGACCTCTGCACAGCCGTCTGGGCGGCCACTTCTTACGCCTTTGCTGCTCTCGATGACATGTTACCAAGGTAACCCCTTTTCCCAATAACCACGGACAGTTTTCTACCAATTTAACATGGATATTTTTACCCAAAAAACCATTTTTATCCTGATATAATTTATCACGTGGTTATTTGAGTTATTTATGTCTTTTTTAAATGGTTCCACGTTTAAATGTATTTTTGTTTTATAAATAATCATTATAAATAAATAAATTGATTTTTATATTAATACTTATTTTTGTTGTTTGGTATTTTTTATTTAATAGTTAAGTTGTTGATAATTATGTTTACTTATATGAGTCATTTAAATGCGTGATTTGATAATTATAAATGATTTATTGATTATTTTTAATTACATTAATTTTAAGTTTACTTTTCATGTTTTTGATACCATGTAAAAATATTTTCACTTTTAATTATTTTTTGATAAAAGCATTTGTTTTATAACATAAGTTGATTTATGATTATAAATTGTTGGATATTTTATAAACAATGAGAGAATTGGGTTAAAAATAATTAATTTGTTAATTAGTGTTGTAAAAATTCCCAGAACTGGTTCTCTCTCTCTTTCTCTCTCTCTCTCTCTCTACTCATATAAAGTTTTTGAGACTCTTGTATGATTTTCACAGAGAAAATATTGGCCACAAAAAACACATACACAGAGAAGTCCCAAATTTTTGACACAGACTCTCACACACACACTCTCTCTCTCTCTCTCTCTCCCCTCTCTCCCCATCTGTCCCTCTCTCCCAACCTCTCCCTGACATTACTTTCACATAAGGTCTGCAATAAGTTTATTATTTGGGGAAAACTTTTTCAAAAAACACAACTTAAATACATATTCTTAAAAACTTTGCGATAAAAACTTAGTGTCTGTATATGTTGTGTGACATTAAGTGATGGTATGGTATGAGACAAAAACCGGTTCCCAATTTCATATTTAGGTTATCTCTATCTTCCGATACAAACAAACGTATAGTAATTGATTATCCAATAGATATCTCTTATGTTTTTGTTTACTGAGTGAAGACATACGACGAGAAGTAAAAAGTGAGAGGGAGTGAGAGAGACAGAGAGGGAGTGTGTGTGTGAGAGTCTGTGTCAAAAATTTGGGACTTCTCTGTGTATGTGTTTTTTGTGGCCAATATTTTCTCTGTGAAAATCATACAAGAGTCTCAAAAACTTTATATGAGTGTCAAAAAACAAAAACAAAAAACAAATTGTTTTGTTTAGTTATGACTTTTTGTGCTAAACAATGGATGTGACCATAAAGTTAACTATAGTTCCACTGGTATTGTTGGCAATACTACTTATCATCGGGTGTTTAGTGATACTATGGATTTGGATAAAAATACCGCAACTATTATGGAAGTACTGTTTAGCCTACTATTGCGGAGCGGGTGTTAAGTGGAAGGGAGGGCCCGACACTTGGGCTGTGATAACTGGCGCCACCGATGGCATTGGTCTGGCCTACGCCAAGGCTATGGCCGACATGGGCTACAGTCTGGTGCTAATGAGCCGAAGCCCTGACAAACTGGATAGGGTTAAGACCGAAATCCATAAGGAATACAAAAATTGTGCCAAAATTAAGATAATTGTCGTCGACTTCGCCGACGAAGACATTTACGATAAGATAGAGTCGGAGCTAAAAGAGTTGCCCGAAATACATGTGCTCATCAATAACGTGGGCATGACTTACAGGTATCCGGAGTTCTTCACGCGAATCGACGATCAAAGTGAGTTCATCACCAGAATATTCAACATTAACTGTATGGCAATGACTAAACTTATCAGTTTGGTTTTGCCCGCAATGGCTGACCGCCGCAGTGGAGTCATACTAAACATATGCTCGTTTAGCGCCTGTTTCCCGACACCATTGCTGGCGCTGTACTCGGCGTCCAAAACGTACGGCGATTACTTGAGCCGAGCGTTGTCTGTAGAGTACGGCCACAAAGGTGTGGTCATTCAGAGTGTACTGCCATACTATGTGTCCACAAATATGATCCGTAACCCAAAGCATACATTTATGATACCGTCGAGCGATCGGTTCGTGAGAAGCGCTCTGAAGACAGTAGGCATAGAGTCGCGTACTTATGGCTATTTGCCGCATACAGTGGTGGCATTCATACAGATATTTGTTATCAAATTCCTCGTCGGTAATGATGTCAATATGAAACTCGCTTTTCGCAAAATGTTTCGCTTCCGCAAAGCCTATTGTGCCAAACGTGACAAATACGCCCAAAGTATGGATACACTCGACAGTGTGATTGACATTAGACTATAGATATCAGCAATCCATCCATCCCTGCCTACCATCTCATTCGCAATTAATTTAATTTTGTGATTATTATCTATTTTTTGCACAACAGAATGACTTTTAGTAAATAAACTCTTTGTACAGTATAAGAGAATTAGACAAAATTCTTTCATTAATAAATTTGTTATAAATTTTGTTTTAATTGGAAATAAATGTGTTTATAATTAACATTAATTTAATAAATTGTTAGGATAACATAACCATGATGATGATAATTACTGCCACAACAGTTACTATGCCAAACAATATGCAACAGGCCATAATCACACGTCTACCAAGTCGTTTGCGGCGCTCATATATAATTAATTGTGGCGATAATGTTGGCCTATGGGAACCATCGATGCCGTTTAAATCAACGGTCATTGCATTCAACGAGGCCATATTACCGATTTATTATAAAATTTATGTTCACTTTAATTTATTTAATAATTAGATTCCTTGTTAAAATTTTTTGGAAAGTATATAATTTAATTGTAATAACAATTGAATGACAATATTCCTATATAAAACTTAACACATGATTAAATAGACAATAATACTGTATAAACAGTATTGGAAAATATTGAGTGATATTTTTTATTGACATTTTAATCAATGTTTAAACAAATTAAAAATAGTTTTTTTTATCAGTTTATGTGTAATTTAAAATTGTTGTCAAACTTATGTTTCCATATAATAAGCTTAAGAAAACAAATTGTTTTTTAGTTATAAATTGTTGTTATTGTTATTATTGCTAGAGATATGTCTCTTGAGCTCAACATTATTGTCATTCATATCCTTATTATGAATTGAGTGCCTATTAATTGATGGCATGAATAGTAGTTTACACAGATTAACGTACGGCGCCTCAAACAACGAGTATAATAGATAGGCCAACAGTAGACTTTCCACCGCATTTCCACACGCTATGAATACCTGCAGCAAACAAAATGTGGTTATTGTTCAACATTGACAACAGGCATAGAAAATAAAAAACAAATTAAATTATATCTTAAATCAGATTACACTTAATATTTTGATATAATCTAAACATGATTAACTACAAACAAATGTACTTTAATGTTTGTAAATAACCATGAAGTGTAGTTAAGGTAGATCTGAATGAACATTACTGACCAAATTCTCCTGACTTATAGTAATAGGACTTCTGATACGGAAGAAGTTGTGCCAAATGGGGATAATGTGGATGAGGTATACGCTGAATGTGAGCCGAGACAATGGCTGCCATATCTCGCTGGACAGGAGTTTGTTAATAAATCCAGCCCTACCGCTGGCGCACTCAAAACAGATCCACGTCAGACCCGCGGACCACAGGAGTCGTATCACACCGAACGTTACGGCCGACTCCAACGGGTTGTCCACCACTGTCTCGGTTTGGGCAAAACCGTACGACAAGAACGGTATGGCAATCACCACAGGCAACGATATGAACCATAAAAACCAGCATAATCTCTAAATAGCCGCAATAGTTATTAGTTTAGTAAAACATTGATTTACAACGTGATAATTGGAAATATTCTTACCCCACTAATGTATGGCTGAGTCTCGCGGATCAGAACGAGACCGAGAATTACACCAAAAAAATATGGTATCAATTGGTTATATGTGGCGAATATAAATACTCCCACTTTCTCTATGGGAAATCTATTAAATAATTAAATCATTATAACATCGATGTACAGCGCTTTACAGCGTTTTAATTTATAATCACTACTTATTCTGGGGGTGAAGAAAGATGGATGGGTTGGGGGCATCGGAAATGCCGGCTAATACTATGGCCACCGGTATAGCGAATCCCAGAATAATCATTAGAGCGATGTATAAACGGCTCAAGAGTTTTGTTCGGTACCAGAAATATATGACAAAATACAGGAGGATATGGAGCTGGAAGTCACAGCTCATATACCACGTTATATTGTTACACTGCCAGCAAGATTAGTTTGTGTTAAGTTATGCAATTGTCTAGAATTAACTTTAAAATAATGTACCATGGTGGACGGGTGCATCCAATTGTTTATAAACAATAAGTTAGTCCACCATGATGAGTAACACTGTTCGGTTACTTTATCGGTTAGATCGGCGTGAAATAGTGGTCCCGAACCAAATAGTGGCCAAATAACTAGAAAGCATATCATGCCAATAGTGGGCGGAGTAAATCTGGTCGGGTCAATTTAATTTATTAAATAACATTGTATTTATTGTTGACTTTTCTCCAAAGTTTATAATCTCAATATATTTTTATGTTCAGTATATTTTATGCAATTTACTATTACGGGTAATAAATTATTAAACCCAAAGTATTTAATGTTAGAATATTTTGGTGCGATATCTTTATTATCATATATTTTATTGTTTTTTCATAAGTTATTTTTAAATAGTTTAAAGCATTAATTTAACGGGTTATGCAATAAAGTGAAAGTAAAAGGGTTGATATATTTGCCTTAAAGTATTACATAAGACAATACAATATATGCGTGATTTAGTCGATTATATGCGTGACTTATATTAAAAGTATTAATTAGTCGGTAATATATTATTTAGGGAAAAATTGTTTTAAACTTATTAAAACATATCTCAAAGTTTTTTATAAGGCAAACATAGACTACTATTTTTCCTGTATTTTATCTATCAGTAATTTTAATCGCTATCCAATGCACACACAATACAGTGTACAGTATTTGGGTTATCATTTAAATACTGTATATGCGTTCACATTAACCCCGTTATTGTGAATCCTTATTAAAGCAAATACTTTCCTATGAACACAAACAGGTGTTATCTGATGCATATAATTAACCAGATTGTGAAGAAAGTAACTCATATAATGTACTTCTTTGTGAATAGTGTACTAATGTATGTGCTTTGGTGTGTCTAATGAGTAGTTAAATTGTGTTTAATGTAGAAAATATGGTTGTTTTATGATTACCTGAGCCAACGAAGTAAGATATAGTTGAATACATTAATCGGATTCTTCTCAAAAACAGGAAGTATTGAGTATATAGTGAGTGAACCGCTTATAGGGATTAAG